ATATACGACAGGTCTGGACCACTCGTGGATTTTGTTCGTATCTGAAAAAAAATCTTAGAATACGAAAACATTGCTGGATACCACAAATCACTCGTACGCACAACTTAAGAACAAATCTGTGCGCACGAACGGTTCTGGCATGAGGCCCAATGTTCAGGACATCTTTTGGTTTTTGTAACTTTTGTTTGGATCTAAACAAAAGCTCACCTGTGCAGTGTGACATTTTGTTTCAACTTCTTCCACAAATTTCTGCACAATCAAACTGCATTTAAACAGTTTATGATTTTTTTTAACACTTAAGTTTCTGCTACTGAAGGTTGTAAGAGTTTCCATTTAGTTTACAAGCTAAGTTAACTGGTGGCCAGCCCACCTTTAGGCCCACCTTATTCCTGGCTACGCCCCTGGATCACTTCCAAACACCTGTTGGAATGTAACTCTAAAAGGTGTACACAGCACGTTTCTATCAAGGGAATAGTTTAATGCGATCAAATTTCAGCGTGAAACCTTACATCACCTGAAAGAGTTTAGAAAAGGTAAGAAAAGGAGGAGGCTTACCTGAGTTTTAAGTTGGCCATAAATTCTTCCATTGACACGTTGTCCAAAAGCACAAAGTCAGCCTTTCCAAACTCCAGGCTTTCGTGCTCTGCCATCTTGTTTTAATTATGTATCTAAGCTCCAAAGAAACTATATTTATTTTAAAACTTGTTTTAAAGTGCCAGTAAAGTTAGTGAACATCAGCTCAAAACACGGTTCGCATCTTCTCAACTTCAAACTGTGGCTTCACTCGTGAGGTTAAAGAAGAAAAAACAGCTCAGTTAAACGATATTTTCCTTAATTAGAGTTTATACAACACTCCGAAAACACATGTCCTCATGTCCGTCCAAAGTTCCTTCTTCGAACCGAACCGTGTCCCGAACACTTCACACCGCCTCGCTCGCCGTGCCCGAGCTCCCACCGTTCTCCTCCGRGTCCCATCAACGCCGGACCGTCCACCAATCAGATCGAAGCATGTGTTCAGAAGCCCCGCCCTCACCTCAGCCCTGCCTCAGTGCAGTTCCGCTGCGTTGCCAAATATTCTATAATCGTATTTACAGGGTATTTTTGTAAATTGATAAATATATTTTTAGCTATTTATAATTATTTTATACATTTTTGGATTTGCGTCATTTTTTATTCTCGTGGCCACCCACATCTGATCCTATCAGCCAGAGCCTGTGGCGTGTGCTCGTCATGCGCCCCTGCTCTATTTCAAAGCGACAGTGCAATATTTCGTTATATTCTATCTGGCAACCCATGTGTCAGCTGAAAAGCATCGCAAATATTTCCTAAACACCGCAGCTTCACTGGTTTTCTGATGCATATCTCAGCAATGACGAGGCCACCGTACAGTAAAAAAAAAAAAAAAAAAAAACATTTACACTTAAC